TATTATTAATATATTTCATCAAATACAAATGCATTTTGTATTTTTGAATCATTAAAAAGTAATTATTATTATTTGAAAATAATAATTAAGAAACAGGATGTTCAATGTAAATAAATGTAGAGTGGGACTATCATAAATTTATTGGACTTGAAAAGGTTTTGGTGACATCAAATAAAAAAAAATAGGAAAGTCATTTCAGAGTCATATTTTGATGAACAATTATGAAGTTGCATTTTTATATGCACTAATTAATTATTTACAATAAGACTACAAAGGTGTATTAAATGTGAATAGGGAAACGTGCACATTTCATTTTTATGAAAGTAAATATAGCCCTTTCTGGTTTCATGTTGACTTCAATACAAAGCCATAGTGTTTATTTGTGTACATTAAATCCCAGGAATGGTAATTACATACAGTCACGGTTGCATATATGAATCTCAGGGGAAATTACTTTAAAATAAAATATTTCCTTTGAAACGGCTAGTATTTTTGTAGCCTGACTTGAAGTTTCCATTCCTTCTTATTTCAGAATAGCAGTCAGTCAAAAGCAGTGCCCGAGGTTATTTTTTCCCGTCTGATATTTCCTTACCTGACACTCAGGTATGAGCGTGCGTGAGAGTGTATAAGCGACACAAGCGATCCAACAGTGCAGCTTGTGAAAGTTTGCGATAGATAGTCTCAAACTGTCTGAATATCAAATGTGCTTTTTATTCCTACGTTCAGTGTTTCTCTACATACAATATTTAGTGTGAATATCAGTCAGAGCTGGAACAGAAGGCCCTCAAGGGCCCAACGGAGAACAGGTCACTGACATCAAAGGGTGTTTGAGTCACAAAAATGGAGTGATGGTGGGGGACAGATGAAAAGAGACTTGAAAAAATGACTTGAAGGATGATAAATCAGTGAGAAAGAGGGAGACAAACAATAAACAATATCTTCACTCCATTGGTAGTCTTTTCAACTTTGTTGCACTGCTAGACATGCCTACATCGAATTCTGCAATTCACTGTCAGTGTGAATGTGATAATGTCCTAATTAGCTAAAACTTTGAGTTAGCGATGAGTAAGTGTGATGCAGTGTCACTTGGTTACTCCGTAATTAGAAGACTGAAATCTCAAACGTGGCCACCACATTGTCTTCTCAAGTGTTAACCGATTGAAAGCCACACTAAGGGAACATTATGATCTGAAATGTCATTTTACAGCTGCACAGTGGTATAGTACATTCAAGCTTTAGTTTCCACACAATGTGTGTTAAATGGCTGATGTCGAACGCTCTTGTAATTTTGATTTGCCTCTTTAATGCAAGGCTCCAGATGGAGTTATTTAGCTGGATTGTGATCTATAATAGCCCATTGCACATACTCACAAGCAGTTTTTATGTAATCCAGCACTGTTTTAAACAATAAAGGTTAATGCTGGAATCAAACCAAAAGAAAAGTAAATTGCTTGAAAGAGGAAAGAGAGATGAAGATCGATAAGGAGGGAGACAAAGTGAGTGTCAAAGAGAAAAAGGAATTTGTACATACTCACATACGGTGTGTTTTTCCAGGATACATCAGAGAAGGGTTAATGTTGTCTATAACCGGCGGCATTCCCAGATGGAAGACTTTTAGCTGATGAACTTAATTGGCATGACATGGGCCGGGAACCCTGCCAACTGGCCAGACCCCTCTGCAACTGCGCATAGAGAGAGAACTTTCATCTCATTTATTTCCAAGATCCTTTCCTTGTCCAATTATGCCTTCAAAAACAACAACAACAAAGACTACATTACTTTAAAACCTATAAATAATAAATACTTAACTGAAAGTAAAATTCTGTCATCCTTTGCTCATGACCTCATGTTGTTCCAAACCTGTTTGACTATGTGTTCACACGGTTCTCTTGGCCAGAGCAAAAAAGAAAATTATACTTTTATTCCTGGTTTGCTTAGCGTTCACATTGTCATTTTTAACACCAAATCTAAAGATAAAAAACAATAGGCATAAGGATAAGGTCACCACCTGATTGGACAGCTTTTATGTTGTATATTTTGTGACAGAACTTAGCGAAACATCCAAAACAATGCTGTGTGCTGGGTTAAATGCGTTCTGTTGCATGTGTGGTATTTTAGCTGAGAACCCACAAAGAGCTTATAAATGTGTAAAGAAGTCAAAACTGTGCCAGAAATTCCTCTGTTGCACACTGAGACAGAACTGTAATGGGCAACATGGCTCCTATGTTTTTGGTTCGTTTAGATGGCTTTGGTCCATGTTGTGTTCATATTTGAGCCGAACTGCACCAGAGTTAATTTGGAAATGGGCTGAAACCCACCTTTTCAGGTCTTGTCTTGTGCGCACCAAAGTACAAATGAACCCCACTGACTGAGCAATCGCACCAGAATTCATTTTAATCAAACCAAACCTGCCAAGTGTGAACACACCCTTACTTTCTTCCGTGGAACACAAAAGAAGATATTTTGCAGAATAAGTGTTCTCTTTTCCATATATGAAAACCAATGAAGACTAGATCTGTCGTGCTCCAATATGTCTTAAATACTTTATTGCAGGTCTTTCAAAGTAATATGATAAATACAATGGGTGATTCACCCATATCTATTTTCGAAATGCATATTATAGGTCTTATTGTGAAAAAAATTGTCCGCTTAAACCCTGTTCCTGCAAGCTTGCATTCTTCTGCCTCCACTTTTGATTGCAACACCCACATCTCAAAATCCAATAAACAGCCGATGCATAAAACCAAGTCCTGCCCCTCAATTTTTCCTTTCGATAATCTGTTTCACTCGCACATACGTCACAATATCAAAGAAAAGATCTGTCTCTACTTCCGTTTCATCATGATTCTAAAGGTACTGTATGAAATTTTTTGACTGTACTAAAGCATAAAATTACCATAATATGTTTGCAGATATTTAGGAAACATGGTAAGTTCACATACTTGCTTCTCTGAAAAACAATGTTACAGCCGGTTTTTCTACTTTGAAATGTGTGTTCCATGTCGGAATGTCTGTTTTTGTCTTGATCTGTGTGATTCTGCCCACTGCCAATTTACCCAATAGTATTTCAACACCCTGGGTTGCCAGTTGGTGGAAAACAGCGTACTGCATAATGGAAGCCAGCAAACAAACTGGGTCAGAGGTCACAGATTCTACCTGACCTAAAAAACCTCAACATCCATCTAAAAAATCTCTGTGAGCAGAGGCATATTAAAACAGAGATAAATCAAATCATCAACTTACAGTGTAAGGCTTGTCACCGTCCATTGTCACTTGCACTCATGTTGCGTGTCCTCACTCTGGCAACCTGTGTCAAAGTGTCGAGTCTCTCCAATTTTTTGAAGTTTGACTGCAGAACCCATTTCAACTGCTAACATCAAAATAACATACAGCACCTTTAAGTCATTGTTTGCTCAAAATCTTCAGTCTCAAGAATAACAAAAACAAAAAATCTTATTCACGTTTGCGTACTTTCAAATACAGCACCACAAATATGCAACGTCAATCATGCAATAAGAACCAACAACAATTTGACATAATTTACGTCAAAAGTGACCAAGTTTTAACTGAATCCAAGTGCAAAGGATCATTTTTGATTGAATCATAAAAATACAACTTACTTCCAGAGTTGTTTTTGTAAAATGAGTAGCCGTACCTTGATTTTTTAATGCTTATAGTCATGAAATAAACCTAAAATTTCACCAAATCCAACCAAACCAATTTCCAAAAATATTAATCCACATATAGGCTTACCATAGTCATTTTTAAATGTTTTGTTTTTTTACCCTCGCTAACATTCCATAGCTTTCCTTTAATGATTACAGCCTTTATAAATAGATCTGTAAAAATATAACACATTTTTCACTTTCTCACCATACCAGGCTGGATCTCAGAGGGGACCATGGGAAGGTAAAACATGCCCTAAATAAAAGTCTGAAGCTGCTTCTCGCTGCATTGACCCACTAATGGAAAAATTAGGGTTATGAATTCTGAGGCCATGGGGGCTAGATACATCTGCTACAATTTTAGGATGTAACTGATTATGTTCAAATCCTGGAGGAGAGGGAATGTTGGTGCAAAGCGACTGAGACTGCAAGCCTTAGTTAAAACGACCTTTTGTTTTACTATGGCACGTTATTGGGGTATGTCCTGTATGTGCTGTTATTGCAGACCGAATTTCAATTCTGGATAGTTTGTGGTTGTGTCCGCAACTTGTGTGTGTTGCCTTTGTTTGCTGCATGCTGTGTCGTGTCCTCAGACTGAAACATGTGGCTATAATAAATCGCATAAATCCTCTTCTCTGCCTGTTAATTCACTTCCCCTATGAGTTTAAGCCGAGATGTTTTTTAGGCCATTTAAACCACAAAACTCCCTCTGGATTCTGGAATTTTTCAGTATTTACTCGCACTGTCTGGCCCTCAGGCAGAGCGCGTACACTTTCTCTCTCACACACTACATCTGGTCATAAGAACCTCCGCCTGTGCATTTTACACTTACACAATGGCCAGAGCAAGCCAAAGAGAGATGAGAAATTGGAAAGAGATTGAGTGTCCATTGACACCTTCATTCAGCAGCAGTGTGTGTTCGGTGCAGTCATGTGACTTCAAAGTCAACGTGAAATTAAAATGAACCCTATTTACTTTATTAATAAACGTTCCTAGTCGTATTGTGCGTGTTATTGTAAAGAATAAATGTTTGTCTTCATAATCTTTCTTCAAAATGTAATAACTTTCTCTGCCTTTAAACAACTTTCCTTTTCTGATGATGTCACTTAGGCCACACGGGCCATTGGTTTATGTTAATTAGCCAGATACTGTATTGTAGTTTTGAGAAAAAAGTCTGAAGTTGTGAAATAAGTCAATTACCTATTTTTTTTATCCCATGCATAAGCTTCAATAGATTCCTTTTAAAAATTTGCCCGCGAAAATTTGCTTGTGAAAATTTAATGTGACTGCACTTAAAAAACAGGTATCAATGCAGATTCATTAGCACACCCATATGTTTGCTAACGGTCTGTCTGTGTGTGGTAGAGTGATATGTATAACCAAGAGTGCGGAACATAAAGGTAAGCAGCATTTTTGGATAAAGATCTGTAGTTTGTGACACACTTAGAGGCAGATTACTGAAGATCACAGGTGCCGTGTTTGATAGTGAGATGCTATTCCGATTCGAGCTGCCACAACAGGTGAAGCCTGAAGTTAATTACTGGAGAGATGGGAGGCCCAGCCACACTCTCGCTAGCAATCGGAGCTTAGTTCAGTTAAAGAATAGACCACATCTATCAGAGCAATCGATACTCACTGACAAAGGTAGTCTCTCTTTTCTTTCATTGTGTGTACGCGTGTGCTTGGTAGGCTAACTTGTGTGCACACATCTCACTGTAAAAATGCTGGCCATTTAATAATATAAAAATGGCTATGTGTGCGTACATTTAGTATGTGTGTGTATATTTTGTTTATATTATATCCATTTTTATAATACATTTTAGAATTTATTTATACATTCAAAACAAGATATTATAACAGTTGATGGTAGCCATTGACTTCCATAGTATTTTGTCCATAGTGGAAGTCAATGGCTACCGTGAACTGTTTGGTTACTAACATTCCTCAAAATATCTTATTTTGTGCTCAACATAAGAAAGAAATTAATACAGGTTTAAAACAATGTGAGGGTAAATAAATGATGACAAAATTTTTATTTTTGGGTGATTTATCAATTTATATATATATATAATATTAAAATATTATATTAATTATATTAATATATAATATTAAAATAAAAGTAAAGAAGTATTGTTTTATATATATATATATATGTATTTAATATATAATTATGCTCAAGGCAACACATGAACTCTTAACACTTTTTAATATTTTTTAAATAGATATATGTAATTTAACAATAATATTAATGACTAATTGATGTTTTAATTTTATTAATTATATACCTATACTTTTACATAACCGGACATGTCACTTCACTTTATGAGCTGTAAAGTATGCAGTCACCAAAATGCCTTCTGTAATGCCATAAATCCTCTTCTCTGCCTGTTAATTCACTTCCCCTATGAGTTTAAGCCGAGATGTTTTTTAGGCCATTTAAACCACAAAACTCCCTCTGGATTCTGGAATTTTTCAGTATTTACTCGCACTGTCTGGCCCTCAGGCAGAGCGCGTACACTTTCTCTCTTCATCTTTCTTTCCTCTCTCTCATTCTGTATATATACAGTGAATTTCATGTGACAATAAGTAGCCAAACTATCTAGCCGGGGAAAAAAGTCCTGTGGTACCATAGTAAAGATGAGATGGTAATAACTCCTTTTGTGTTGACAGAATGACAGAATTTTCATCTATTTAATAAGCAAGCTGCTCATTAATTTACAAGGTTATCATAGAGCCACTATGACTCACCAAATAAAGAGAGTGTTTATTTGTTATTTCGCTTAATTGTTCAAGGCAGTCAACACTAAGCGCTACACGTTGCTCATTTGTCATTAGCAGTCATAGGTGATCGTTTATGCGGCGTGATTGGCAGCTGGAGGCGGAAGCGGCGGGGGTGCGGAATAATTGGAACTTCAATACCCACAATCACTATAGACTGCACACCGCCCTCCTCACCGGCTGCAGCCAATCAGCGGCCTCAAATGCTGCGATTGGACCGTTGCAGCCTTTGATGTCAAGGGCCAACGTGGGTCGCTGACAGTTTGATTGGCTAGAACGGAAAAGTCGCCATAGCCAATCGGAGAAGCGCTGGAGAGTGGCCGACAGCCGCGAAGTTTTAAGGTGGTCTGGAAAAAGGTAAGGGGTCTGATTTACCTCGTGTAATTTGCTCTTTTGATATTTAAATAACGTATTTCATATCTAAAACACGTATAAATAAGTAGAATAAATTAAATTAAACGGCTCTATTGATTTTTCTGTCCGTATTTACCTTGTTTTCCCGCTTATTTTTAGGTAAACAACAGAATTTTGTTAAGGAAAGCTTTCAGGACACTCGCCAAACTTTGCTTTGAGATGATTCTACTAAAACTATTTATAAATTATGTCTTGTGTACAATATATAATTGTTTCTATTAGGAGTTGTTGACATGCAAGGAACTTTTTATCACATTATTTAGGAACGAATCTCCATTGGTGCTGATTCAGATCAAATGTGAATGTGAATCGGATGCTGAACTTGATTAATTGTTGTAAATGGTGTTTGTACAGGTACATTTATGAATGACATATATTTATACTATGATATGTTTATTGTTAGATAAATAATATGTCAAAATGTTAGCATAACTTTAAGTAAAGTGTGAATGCAGCTGTTGTGATACATGATCATACAGTTCGTCTTCCCCTGATTTTCCTATTATCTTATTTCAGATCTTATGCCAAACCTGTTAACCCCTTACCTGGACACCATTATGCAGAAGCCCAACCAGTTCAGGGCAGATTATTGTCTCGTCGGTCATTTCCATGATGTCTGTTCGTACTCAACCAGCTTCATAACTTATCAGTAAGAGGCTGAAGGGAGAGAGTCGTGTGAATAAATACTTGTCTAATCCATGCAATTAGATAACAGCGATTAGGGCAAACCCTGACCGGAGAGGTGTCGCAGACAGAGGGATGACTAACAAGGGACGCCTCTGAGATCACACTAATATGACGGAGGAGGGCAAGAGAATGATGAAGAGATGAGGACGATACTGATAGGGATGACTGGGTTATTAAAATGACTGAAATTTGCTGATGTGTATTTTCAAGCGCAAACAAGCGACGTGAACATGCTCTGGATAAATCAAGTTCGTAAGTGTTGCAATTATCACTAATTTTGCCCGTTTATTTCTCAAAGGGCAGATAAATGCTCGTCTGTCGGAGGCGAACGTGCAAATATGAGGTTGGACACACGCGGTGCTTTCATGGAATTGCTGGCAAATTGAATCATTCCTCATCTCTCTCGTTCTCTCTTTTTTCCACATCCCTTGTTTTCAATTTTTTTTTCTCCCCTGAGGCAAATTTAATTGCTCGGAGGTTGCTCTATCAAAGCTCAGGAGACTTCAGTTATGCTTCATTGCATTATGAATTTTGTCTCCGATATTTCTTTCAAAATTCCTTAGGAAAAGTAAATTGAGACAACTGTTGACATACAGTAAGTATAAAGTAAATAATAAGTAAACATTTAAGTAATATAAAGAATTTGCAAATAAATATATAATTTATAATAATTCTTTTTTTAATATATATATAGATATAGATAAATGTGTGTGTAATATATATATAGAGAGAGAGAGAGAGAGAGAGAGAGAATATATTTCTTATATTACATCATTATAACTTAGAGTATAGTTAATAATATAATTTTTATATAATAACCTGTATAGGCATATGTGTGAGTAATATATGTGTATTATAATAAAATATAGTATTACAGTTGATATATTTCATATTTTGTATAATTTTCTTTTAAACTATAATCATGTATAATCATTTAGATTATAATCTGTAAAATAAATAAATTAATGTAGGTAGTATATCTCAGATAATTTGGTCTTTGAAGAATTTGATGAGAAATATTTGAGTGCATATTGAAATCTTTGACTTTTGATTGCAGACTTGGCAAATCTGAGCACAGTTTGAGACATTTGTTGAGATTTGATCTAGAAGAGACACCTGAGCGATTACTGGGGTAAGTGGGTCTTTTTATTTCAGTCAAAAAATATAAGCAGACTATGAAGCAAATGTCTCAGTTTGCCCTCTAAGTAAAACAACTTAAATATCTAATTCATGTTTTTTTCTCTATTGGTCTGTATGTGTGGTGATATGAATCTATCGGCCATTCAATGCAACGACAACAAGATATCATGTATCATTGGTTGTATGCATGTATTGGTGTCTATTTCTGTCTCTATCTCTCTGTCTATCTATCCTCTAGCTATCTCGCCCGGTCCACCTTAAGTGCAGCTTGAGCAGGCTGTCGTGTTTGTGTTGAAGCCAACAGGCACAATATATTACAGTCTAGGGCTTGCTGCTGAAAATCCTGCTGGATCTTCCAGTGACCTGCTGTTCTTTCCTGCTTTCCTGTGTTTTTTTTTTCTTCCTCTCTAGATTTAGATGAAATACAAAGCCCGTTCCTCCTTCTCCCTTGCCTTTTTAGACCTCAGCAAAGAAGCCCTGTAGTTTTGAGGTACTGTTACAAGGTTGGAAGACTCGAATGGAGATACGTGTTTGTTTATGTAGCTTGTTGGGGACATTTGCAGAAGGACAAGACTGTGGACAGCTGGACGTGATTCTTCGGAATTCCCTGCTCCTCCCGGTCTCCTGACCTGTCGGACTGAGAGCCGGACAGTAACGGAGTGGGACGTCAGGGAATTCTGGGGGGAAATCCAGTCCAAGTGTGAGTAAGGGGATCTGTTTTTAGAAGACCCCCTCGTCGGATGCACTGACAGCCTTCTGCGGCTCGGAAAGAACAGAGCCGGGTTCCCAAACTCGATTCGGGGCTCTGTCCCCTGGTGGAGGGGGGACGCAGAAGTACGGAGGGTCAGCGCATTGGCCGTCAAACCCATAGCCGGCATCCCTCCGGTGACCATGTACCCGCAGGGTAGACACCCGGTAAGTGCTGCGCTCTCTCGTTCTCCCACATCCTCGATAAATGGAACAGATGAAGCGATTGGGTGTAAGAGAGACGTCTCTTCAGATTTTCAGTTGCATGTACGCATATTCATCTTCACCCAGGTGTCCTCAAGAGCCAGTTGATAGAAAGTTGTGTGGGAGGAATCAAACACAATGTGTGTCTGTATTAGTTTGTGTAATAAACCTTTCTCAACGCCCCCTCTAATAGATGCCATAGTGCGTTTGGTAAATCTAGAGTGGTTTAGATCTTATATATGTGTATGTGTATGTGGGTGGGGTTGGATAGGGCTTACTGTGGGAAGTTTATTTGTTAACTGTGACCCGTTTTTGGTTTATTGATGTTTCTAGAATCCAAAGAACCTACCGTATATTGCAGCCTGTTTTAAATGTGGTTCAGCGTACAAGCCTAAACTTGTACTATATGACAGCACAAGGCATCAGATGTGTTCATGAATGAATGAAATGTCCCTTGAGATTGATTTAGTGTGCATGTCACACACTTGCCTCATAGACTTCCAATGTAAGGGTGAATTTCACTAAAACCGTCAAGAATGATCCAGAATGAGGCAAATTTCACCTTAAAATCTAGAGAAAAAAATTAGGAAATACGATTTTGCATAAAGTAAGTTTTTAGGACTGTTTTTGCCTTGTGACATTTTTTCCATAATATTTATATTTTTCCTTATGGTTTTCATGTGAATTTTTTTCTTCCTCTTTAGATTAAGATTTAAAAAGTCCATTTAACCTTCTCCCTCGGCTTTTTAGACCTCAGCAAAGAGGCCATCGGATGTCTTTATTAAGGAATGAAAGGAACTTTAAGACCGTTTTTGTGAGATTCACCCTTAAGATGATGAAATGTCCAGAATGTGTCATATTTCACCATAAAATCAAGTAAAAAAAATCAAGTAAAATAAATAAGAAAATAGGTTTTGCAAAAATAAACTTCGACAATTTTTGCATTTGAGTCAACTGATTTTATTGTTATTACTATTATTGTACAGCATAGACTTTGGTTATATTTTGCATAAAAAATAAGATCATTTTAGGACAGTTTTTGCATGACAAAATGAAATATATATATTTTTTCTTTCAATATGGTGAATTATGACATTTCTTAAGTAAAGATTAACCTGTAAGAGCATAACTGTCAATGGACTTTTAAAAATGCATCTTATGTGAAAGTGAAGTGACATGTGGCCAAGTATGGTTACCCATACTAGGAATTAGTGCTCTGCATTTAACCCATCCTAAGTGCACACACAGAGCAGTGAACACACACACACCGTGAACACACACCCGGAGCAGTGGGCAGCCATTTATGCTGCAGCGCCCGGGGAGCAGTTGGGGGTTCGGTGCCTTGCTCAAGGGCACCTCAGTCGTGGTATTGAAGGTGGAAGAGAGCGCTGGTTATTCACTCCCCCCACCTACAATTCCTGCCGGACCGGAGACTCGAACTCGCAACCTTTGGGTTACGAGTCCGACTCTCTAACCATTAGGCCACGACTTCCCACTTATACTGCTTAAGTTTTAATTTTTTAAATAATATTCCTTAAACAAATATACAATCATGTCCTGAGGTTCCCAGCCAGAGTGATTGAATGTAATTTATAATGATATAGTGAACAAACTCCAAAGGACCAGTGAAATCTGCAGCTAGGTTTTATTTTGACCCTCATGGCCTGTGAAACCTGACCTTCACCAGTAAAAAGGTGTGAGAAAGGTCTCTGTGTGTAACCAAGCATAAACATTGCCTTTTGTGCTCACACCTCTTCTTGTTCTGTAAATCTTTAAGAAATCTCCATGTTCGTGAGAATTCTCTTCTCAGAAAACACACACATGGTTAGAACAGCTTTTTTATTAGCGGATCTAGTTAAGCTAAGCATCACTGTTACATTTGCTCGTACTTAATCTTAAAAATAAAAGCTCTTTATTTGCATCTGTGGTTCCACGAAGAACCTTTAACATTCATAGAACCTTTCTGTTACACCAAAGTTTTTTTTTAGTCGAAAAAAAGGCTTTTTAAAGAACTGTTCACTGAAAGGTTCTTTGGGGAACCAAAAATGGTTCTTTTATGGCACCACTTCAAAAACCCCCTTTTCAAATCTTTAACTGGAACCTATACAAAACACTTAGAATTCCTTAGCAATCACATAGCAACACCCTGGAAACCACCCTAGCATTGCATTTTGTGCAAATGTCTCGGCATGATTCCGTAAATGTTTTACTAATCAGATTGGTCCATCAGTAGTTTAGTTTGACAATTCAACATCATCCAGTGCAAATCAGAGGGAGCCTGTGTCGGTGTGAAATGAGAGTGTCAGAGTCTGCGATACCTGCAGTGCATGCCTATTGAAAGGGTTAAGGCCTGATTTGCAAGGCAAACTGCATCGGGAGGACTGGTAATTGGTTCCACTGGATTGTTGTGGTTAGTGTTATCTGAAGCAGGGGGATTGGAAGGTGGAAGGAGAGAAGCGTTACAGTGCTCCGTGCTTCTGAGCCAAAAACAATAACAATAAAAAAAAGCCGGGCAGGGAAAGCTCATAATCCGCTGCAGCCACACCTTCGGTTTCCGACTGTTAACAAAACACAAACTTCCAAGGTTGATCAAATGCGCTTAACACATTGTTTTTAATCCTAAAGATGGAGAGTCTAGATGGTAAAACTGGCATTCAGTTAACGTTTAAGGGTGAGAAGTCCATCGATGTCATGTGCGAGGTGTGAGAAACGTGAACTCTCTCCGCAGGAGGTCTGTGGATATGTTGGACATGACGAGGAGTTTGAGAACCTGTTACAAATGAGAGGCTGTAATATGAGTGCATTAGCACACGTAGCTAATGAGGCATCACTAATAGTACCTGTGTTTGCACTGTGTGGATTTATGGGTGTTTTGTAGGCAGGTGCTGGTGTGTGTTATGCCAGGATGTGAACATTTATATGGATACTGATGTCATAATGAAGATGGAATATAGAGAACCTCCTGTTCAATACAGCTGTATTTAGCAGTATACATTAAAATGTCACAATGCAAAAGATTTTTGCTTTTGGTGTAGACAGGCAAGTAACTTGAATGCTGGACATTTGTGTTAAATATAGTTTAAGGATTTTTCATTAATGCCTAATTTTTAGATGATTACTAGGGACAGTAATTGTGAGGAATGTATTCTGATTCTTTATAACTACTGTGTTCCTTTTCTATTAGCAGTTCCTTTAGTAGGCACTTTTGAGGAAAAAATATTTAGAAGAAAGAAGTTCTTACTGCATTTACTGCCCTCAGGAGTTTTCAACAGAAAGTAATAACTCAGACATATATTCCATTTTGTATTTATTGAATTCTTGCAAAAATGTGTTTATCTTGACCTTTAATGACTTTTTACAACTTGACATGACATGACAAAGTAACAGTCCTTGGTTAATTTTGTTTCAATGTGATGAAAGTAGTCAGTAGTAAGAATAAGTACCTGCTCATTCATACGTGTTTATAAAAACAACTGGCTCAGAAGATCCACTCATTTGGGAATCAGACTACACTATATGTTTTTGATTTACTGAAAAGAACCACTGCATAAGATTCATTGTTTAGGAATCAGAATATAACAGGGCACTCTTTATGCTTATTTAGTTTCACTAAATATAATTGTTAGCTCTTGTTTGGGAATCAGACTACACTGCTTGTCCTGCATGTTTTTAATTAATTACTAAAAAATCAGCTGAAATTCAGATTCATATGTTCAGAAATTGGAGTAGGTTTACTAAAACAAACCAGCTCATAAGAGTCATTTGTTAATAAATTTGGAAACAATATCATTTTAATTCACTAAAAAGAGCCAGTTTGTAAGAGTCATGCATTTGAGAGTTGGACTATACTGGTTACACTAAATGCTTTTGATTCACTAAAATAATCAATTTGTAAGAGTTATTTGTTCAAGAATCAGACTACATGGGTCACACATTTTGTATTATAATTCCTGACTCATGATATTCATTGAGAATTTAACTATACTAGTCGCAGTGTGTTTGATTCACTAAAAAATGTATTAATTGAAAAATGCATGTTTCTTTACATGACTAAAAGTAATGAAAATCATTCAGTTTTGCTACTTAAAATGGCACTTAAAAATGGGTCTCGCTTTCCAACCCTTGATCATATATGATTATAGCTGCTTTGATTATTAATTAATGGCAAAGACTTTTATACAAAGCATGCATATTCATACATTTTACATACATTTTTTTTGTGTGTTATTGCATGAATGTGTGTCTCAGAGTGAATGCCAGCTTTCTGTTACACTGATGTGGTGGCCAAGTGAAAATTGTAGCCAAGTTTCTGGCCACAAAATTCACATATGCTCTTTTAATGAGCTGATAGTTTGAGCTGGTGTGCTCTCCTTTGCTCATTTTTACTCACAGCCGTATTGTTTTAATAAATCTTTTTATTCTGGCCACATTTGGATGTTAAACTTGGTTGCAGGTTTCATATCTTCACTCTGTTTTATTATCAATATTTAGCGTTGGTCGGGAACACATATGAGGACCTTCTTTCTTTCTTTTTCTTTCTTTCTTTCTTTAGTCTCAAACCATTGCTGATTTACTCTGTAAAGTATAAAAGCTGTTTTCTCTGCCTGCCAATCCACGGTTCCTAATCCAGTATTGGACAGCGATGGCTTTTGCTCGGCCTCACAAAGCGAGCCACTCCAGAGCCGCATTGTCAGTAAGTCGCCAAGATAGTCCTAGCAGCCACCCGACGTCCTGGCATTCAGTGGGGTTTAAGATTGGGTAAAAGCCTCAGAAATGATTGGCAACAGTGGAAGGACTTTCTCTCAGATTGTATAATGAGGGTGTGACACCCAGTTCAAAGTGTACCTGCTAAACTCAAGCACCTCAAAATGGTTGTGTCTTGGGAATTCCAGGAGTCTGTGGAGACAAGGTCTTGCAGGACTGGGCAAGAAGGAAAGCTGTGTTTTTAGAGAGCGAGATCACACACACGCACACATTCGCCCAGATCCCCCCGAGATCACACTGACACTTCTCTTCCTCCCACTCTGGTGATCCTCATCTATTCGTGCGTCTTTTTGCACTAAATATTTCACCAGCGGATGATTATTTCATGGATGTCTCTATCCCAGCCTGTCTGCGAGGATGCGAGCTCCGTAGACATCTCGGTAGCTGTCGGCGCTCCTTTTTCGGCGTCTCTCTCTTCTCCTTCAAGCAGATTTAAGTCACTGTGTCCAAAATAGCAACTCCAGCAGTGATATATGAGATGATCAGAGTGGGCGATTGGGAGAGATTTCATTTCCCACCATTGTTATGGGATCTGCTCATCTCTCTCGCCCCCTTTGACCTCCCTCAGAAGATAATCTTCAGTAATTCTAGGCTAGCCTGCTGCAACTCGTCTAAATTGTGATTGACTAGCCGCTGTCCCACATGACTCGCTGTCTGCCTCGTCCCCCTCCGTCCAGATTAACTGGATCAGTTTTGGATTTCAGGATTCCCCCTCCTGTCTGACACACACTGTTGTGTCTAAACAGATGCTTTTACCCAGGTTTCCCCCTTGTTTATTTGCATAAATGTGAATTTTGTACATATGTTTGTACTGTATGCTGCAGAGCCCTTCGTTTTAATACAATATGAACAAATGTTTTTTTTTTTCAAAACTCAGCTAAAGTAATATATTTATCTTTGTCTCTTGATTATTAGCAGTGCTAACATTCTTACAAAACCCATCCTGCACCATTTGTGCTGCAGATATGAATGATACCTCAAATTTTGCAGCTTGTTAAAGCTTCTAAACTTCTAAAGCTTTTAAACTTCAACACTCTAGAAACAGTAGTCAACACTTTGTTAACCACCCAGAACAGCCTCTCAGCCGCATAGCAACATCCTAGTGACTGCTTTGCAAGTGACCTGGAAACCACTTACAACAACCTAGAAATTGCGTAGCGACACCCTGGAAACCACCCACAACATCTGAGCAACTGCATAGCAACACCCCAGGAACAACCCTTAACATCTGAGAAACACTGCATTTCAACACCTTAGAAACAGCAGTCAACACCCTGGCAACTACCAAGAACAACCTTATCAACCGCAAAGCAAGTCCCTGGCAACCACCCACAACATCCCAGCAATGACTCAATGAAATTTCTCACTCACAACATCTGAGCAACTGCATAGCAACAGCAATTTAAACCCTGGCAACCACTCAGAACACCCTATCAACCTTGTAACAACATTCTAGCAACTGCATAGCAATGCCCTGGCAACCAGTCAGTAAGGGCTGCAAAGGGGTGGAAAATTTCCTGAAACTTTCCAGCATTCTTTGGAAAATTTACTGGAAATTTTCCGTCCCTTTGCAACCCTAAAATCAATGCCATGGTAACCACTTAGAACATCAGATGCATGGCAACACTGCATAATAACGCCCTGAGAACTCATAACATCCTAGCAATGGCATAGCAACCACTCACAACATTTGAGCAACTGCATAGCAACACCCTGGCAACCATCCATAACACTCTGGCTCCATGGTAGCAGGATTTACACTGAAAACTGTACATTTCCTTTAGAAAATGTAAAAATCTAATGTTATTCATGGAATTCTTCTGTGGATACATTATATTTTTATGAGATGTTTCCTGATTATATATTTTTGTGTTGTTGTGAGAATCTACTATGGTCCTGTGAGTTCTGGCCCTGTGTGGTTTGTATTGCTTTCAGAACAGTTACTGTACACACACACGTTTGAATGAATGAGGGTCAGTAGGGACATGATGACTGCCCCCCTCTATCCGCACATAAACACGTTGGTGTGTGTACTGAACTCATCCAGTCAGCTGTGCGCCTGCAGCTTAATTACTCGAAAGCTCACCAAGTTTCTGACCTCCACCGTTAGCCTAATTAAAATTTAATTGAATTTCGCTTGTCTAGACTAATTAAGCTCATACTGAAACCACCAATCTTCAGCCGCTCGCCGGACACCGAGCTTCAGATAGAAAACTGGAAGCCCGGAGGTGCGCAGGACAAAGGCGGCCATTTTAGAAAGCAGCTGACAGAATAGGAAACGTGTTTAAATATAGCAAAGGAAAGGGCTCGGATCTTAATGAGGAGGAGAGGTAGATCAGATTAGAGCACGCAGGTCTTGCTATTAGATGGGCCCACATGAAATTTGGGTGACCGTGATTTTACCAAGTATAACATGTTCCTGGATCAACATCCTTGTTGATCCTGGGACAACATTCCTATCAACCAATCAGAATTGAGGCTTACAATCAGGGTTAGGTGCTTCTACACCCTTGTTAATCAGCTATCATTTCACACTGTTTTTAGGAATAAATTATGGGTAAGGTTAGGTTTAGGGGTAGGGATTGGGTTAAGTCTGTATTTTTGGACAGTTATGTTGATCCAGGATCAACAAAAGATGTTGATCCAGGAACATGTCTTACTTGGCAAAATCACGGCGACCTGAAATTTGCATGTTTTCAGATGTGGATTGGGGGGAAATATGTGGGTATGGTAAACATGGTAAAATGCAAAAACAGAATTGAGAGAACCACACTCTTATTTCAGTAATCTCTGTGATTGATTCATTAGTCTTTTTGATTCACTAAAAAACCACTCAGAAGAATCATTCATTCAGGAATTAAGCTAAACTTTGTAGCTGTTTCCGAAATTGTTTACTTACTTTTGAATAAGAACTAACTTTGTGACTTTAATAGTTTGCTTTTCACCTGCTTTCACATACTGTTTTTCGCCTACTAGTGGAGCAGTAAGCCTATTCAGACACAGGGCCAGTATGCTTTTGATTCACTTAAAAGAACCAGCTCTTAAGAGTCATTAGTTCAGGTTAAATTGTTTGTTTTTGGTTTACTCTCAAGAATCAGTCACTCTAAATTCCAGATATACTAGTTGCACTGTATGGCTTTTTGATTCACTAAAAAGAACCAGCCAAGAAGAGTCATTCTTTCGGCAATTACAGTACACTGGTCAAGCAGTATGTTTTTGATTCGCTATGAAATGAAGAGCTGGCTAATAAGATTAAATGCTCAACAATCAAACTTCAATAGTTGTGTTGTATGATTCATGATCTGATTCAGTTAAATTAATTAGTTCCTTTAATAAATAATTTATTTTAGTGAACTTTCTGCATTACCATTATAGTTTGTGGTTTACTAAGGAAATGCGTGTTCTGTAATTATTAATAAAGTAGAACTTAATGTTCTTGGAATGTATAGAAGTTTTGGAATGCAAAAATGTAATTTGGAATTTCTGGTACAGTTTCCATACAATACTCATAGCTGCTTATCTAAGTTTAATGATTCATTCTTGAGATTGGGAAGTGCATTTGTGTCTACCTAAAGTTAGGGTTAAATCTTGTGAAAGCATTTTGCAGAATGAGGGTTACCACGACCCCGTAGAAGTGCTGTTGTTATCCTTTTTTTTTCTCCTCCCTCACCAAAAATGCATATAGCATTTGTAGTGAGGCCAAGGTCAAAGATAATGCCGTGGGAGCACTTTTTCAATTTTATTTCAATGAGTCAGTTTTGGTACATTAATTTAACCAGTCCAATCTTCCAGCACAGAGCGATGGCTGTTTACTGATTAATAAGCCATCTCTTTCTCTCTCTCCTCAGGTACCTCTGCAGCCTGGACAGTCATTCAAGTTCACAGTGCTGGAGACTCTGGACCGCATTAAAGAGGAGTTCCAGTTCCTTCAGGCTCAGTACCACAGGTCAGATCATATGAGCTGATTTACTCCCAGTATCTGAAACACTTTTGATTATTTAAGAATCTCTTCCTACAGGCTAATAACTGGCTGGATGTGTATTGAATTAATGTTACTGTATTATACAGCATATTATACAGCAGTGTGACATCAACATTTTTATTTTATCCACTGAAATCTGCGTTGGAAATTACCAGAATTAGTGAGAACTGACTAAACTGGTGATGCTGCTAACTTAACCACATATTCAGTGTAGCTTTTCAAATACCAAGCTAATTAGCAAACTGAAAGAATAATCAAATAAGTTTTGCTGAACTGTCCTGTAATGTTGTAAATAGCATACGATAAGTTTGATTCATTTAAGTGATTTGGTTTGAGCTGATTCCTTTAACTGAATCAATTTGTGTTGATTCCATTGAGTGAATCAGTTTGTTCTAATTCCTTTACTTTAATTGGTTTGTTCTGATTCATTTAAGTGAATTAATTCATTCTTGTTCATTTAAGTGACTTGGTTTGTTCTGATTCCTTCTGATTAAGTGAATTTAATCATTCTGATTCATTTAAGTCAATCAGTTTATTCTGATTCCTTTAAATGCGCTAGATCATTCTGATTCCTTTAAATGCGCTAGATCATTCTGATTCTTTTAAGTTAATTAGTTTATTCTGATTCCTTTAAGTGCGTTTGATCATTCTGATTCATTGAAGTGAATCAGATTGTCAAGTCAAGTCAAGTCACCTTTATTTATATAGCGCTTTTAACAATACAGATTGTGTCAAAGCAACTGAACAGCATTAATTAGGAAAATGGTGTCAATAATGCAAAATGACAATAGTAAACACAAATTTTTCAGTTAAAGACAGTTCATCATTGAATTCAGTGATGTCAACATCCAGCTCAGTTTAAATAGTATCTTTGCAATCAAGTCAACG